AACAATATCAAATAATAGTTAAGTCATGATCAACAATAATCAAAATTATCAATCGATTTTAATTTTGATTTTGTTGCACAAAAATCCGATTGAAAATCGTGAAAATTTTTCACTGGGATTGAAGCTTTTTCTTGACATAAATTGCAACCAAGATCAGTTTTACCTTTTTAAAGTTAAATCAAATAAAACTATGCTGCTATTCTCAGCTGAGTATGCGTCTCCTACTAAGCAAGAAAGGAACGAACTGAAAAAGGAGTACAGACAATGGAAGCTCCTTCGAAACTTCGCAACTTTCTCCTTTCCAACAATTTTGTTTTTTTGCAGAAAATTTTATTTTCGATATTGAGCGCAGCAGTGATACGTAACAGAAGAAACAGCTATCTTAGAATAGGAAACCCCCTAGTTATAGACAACTGCTGTTTGACGAATTTTCTTAAGTTTGCAGAAGAGGACTCTTTATGGGCAAGAATCTCGTTTTTGCAGGCTTTTCGATATTTTTAGTGCAGTTTTGTCCATTGAGATGAAACATTTCAACTTTTTCTCGACAAAACTTCAACTATTCCGAGAAAAAACTTCGGAAATTTTGGAAGCTTTGCTTATACAATTTCTAAGAGAAGTGTGAACAACAAATATTTATGACCTAAGAATGAGCACTGCTGACAATATCTAACGAGATGAACTTTCAGCACCTACAGGTTTTCTTCTAAAAAATATTTCCAGTTTTAAAATTATTTCTTGGACACACTCTGTTTATTTTGTTTTGGTAACGTCTTTTACACATCTAATTACCTCGATTCACCAAATGCAATTCCTACTGTAAGTTCAGCGCAATGGAAAGATTACAGAGACATTTTTTTGACGCAATTGTTACGTGAAAATGCACTTGTTAAAACTATAATTACTACTGAATTTTCCCTCTTCAGTAAATGACACTTTTTTGTATTTCTTGGGATACATCAATGTGAGAAATTTGACAAAATCAAAGATGGTTTTAGCAAAACATGAATTTTCTAAAACTAAACTAGTGCTGCTGTTCTTCCCAGGTACTAAGCCAACGAACGTGAGGAAGACTTGGCCATTCATTGGCGACCAGGTTTTTCTTGGGTTTGTTGGCTCATAAATAAGAAGGAAACTCCAGAAACAAGAATAAGTCAAATTTTGGCCTTTAATATCTTCTAAGATATGAACCTTTTTTTGAATATGAGCCTGATCATTTCACTACCTCTAATGTGCAGCAAGACTTTCGAAAGCTCTGCTACAAGAGAAGTCTTTAACAAAAGTGTGAGGTATGGAGACACAACGGAAATCCACGATTCTCTACTCTGTTCATCTCTTTACTCTTACAAAATCATAGATGTATAGAACAACTAATTTCAAGGTCTTCTAACTATTTGATCTCTTCCAACACACATTTCATAAATGCTGAATAAACACTTGTTCGTCTTTCAAAACCAGTGACAATTTCAGACAAGATCAATATTATCTGTTTACCAGGTCCTCAACCACACAATGAGAATGAAACCGTTTGGGTTGGTAAGTAATTACTGCTGCTCTTTGCTTTTCAAACCAAATAACTATTTATCTCCGTTTTCTTCAGTTGGCTGGGGTACAACAGCATTTCAAGGTCAAATAAGTCCAATTTTGAAGCAAACATCGTTGCATACAATGTCAAATCGTTGTGGAAAGATCTTTCGTTATTTTAATAATCAGAAAGAAATGTGTGCTGGTGCTCACGGTGGAGAACGTGATACATGTCAAGGTGATTCAGGAGGACCATTGATGCACGAATCAAACGGACAATGGTAAGTGAGCTCTTTCTTTCATTTCTGTCTCGCAAAGATGTCACTTCTTCCTTATTTTATGCTTTTAAACGGTGTTTTTAGTTATGGTCATGAATGTTCTCTAGATGGATATCCTGGTGTCTACGCTCGTGTTAGTTATTATCTTCCGTGGATCAAGAGTAAAATGAGTGTAGCTTAAGTGCTTTTCCAGTTTTATATTGGAAAAAGATCTTGTGAAAAAAAGAAAGAGCGCAGAATATTAAAATAATTTTTCTCCTGTGAATAGGGATGTGAGTATGAGACTGACTCCGATGACCGATTTCGACCTTGATAAAGGGTCTCTTCAGATGGCTCCTTCTATTTCAGGATTCAAAAATCCCAGCAGATTATCTTCATACTGGCTGTGGGTGAGATGTGTTAAATACTTAAATTGTATAGATTCAAAACAGAATACACCGAGTTTCGACTATGGCTTACACAGTCATCATTAGGTATTTTTAAAATTTAATACTACATATTTCAAATAATTAGATTATTAACTATAGACCTATTTTATTTGAAATCATAATTTTTCAAAGCGGGAGTTGAAAAGAACAATAACTACAATATCAAAAGGAATAAAGTAAATTTTGGGGTGTGAGTGTGGATGTGGATGTGTGTGTATGTGTGTAAGGGGGGAGGGTATATGTTAAGAAGCTGAAGAAAAAAATGTCGAAAGGATGAATTTTAATACACTGAATCAGAAAGGTAAAAGTTTTATTTAATTCAGCAGGGTGTGTGTGGGTGCTAATGTGGATGCAGATGTGCATAGAGGTCTGGCGTAGGTCTGGTGTAATTGCGTGTGGATGTGGGTATGGATGTTACTGTAGTTGTGGTCATGGGTGTGGATATGGATGTTAGTATTGATTTTAGTGTGGATGTTGATGTGGGTTTGGGTTGGTTGCCGCAGTGAGTTCTCGATTGGTTAAGTGGCTGCGCTGGCGTTCAATACCTCCAATATATCTACACTAGAAGCCTTCCCCTCACTCACTGGATATCCAAGCCTACATGAACATTCACATACTAACACTTACGCATCCCTCCAATGCTCAGGTGAACATCGACCTATTCTCACCTATCTCACACCTTTTCGACATTTTTTCTTTCGACCTTTTTAGATCTAATCTGTGGGATGAGTTAAATAATGAATAGATTCAAAGCGTAATATGACGTTTCGTCCTTGCTCAAGGGATTCATCAGGTATCTTCTGAATCTAATTAATACTACATATTTCAAACAAACAGATTATTTAACTAACGCCCACATAGTCGAAACATAATTATTTTCAATAAAGAACCCTATAAAGACAACGAAAATGAAATCATTATAAAATCAAAAGGGATACAGTCAAAAATTCAATATATTGTTCATAACGTAGTAATATTTAAGAGTGAGTTTCTGAGAGACTCAGACATCGACGATGGAGTGAAATCTTAGAATTGGTTGATTCTTTGTTGTGTCGTAGAGGGTAATGAGTTATGTAATTTTTGAAAGTTTCAGTTGAAATTGAATGTATTTCTTAAGAGAAACCCTCAAAATATAGAGCGTTTTTCTGATCCTAACTTTTTTTACTTGTTTTTTGAAAAAATATATAATCATTTTCAATACATCGGCTTTTGTTATTTCGAATTGAAAGAATTTCAACTCTCGGTTTTTCCAGTCATAGTTATTCATTAATTGCGTTATCGAGGACAAAAATTCAGAAGTTGTTATCAAACACATGAATAGTACGGTCTTATAGAAGAACAGGTGTATCTATAAATTTTTATCAATTTTTGTTACAAAAGTGGTCAAAATGTCGATCAACTATGTTTGATGCCACAACAATGGAGTGCTCTGAAATTTTTACCATAAATAGAACTCATCAAGCTCTATTATCTGCAACAATCAGCTTCTTATTCGCGAATCAAAAGCAGGCCTTTTAATGATCAATTCTCTTTTTTAGCTATCCAAAGTATAACTGCCTAAAAACAGCATACATCGATTTCAAACTAAAAGTTCATAATTGAATGATTTGTTTACTATTTCATACAGCATTATATACTGAGTATCGTCTGAAACTTCTAGGTCGATGCCTCAAACACAAGAGCTAAAATATTCAAAATACTAATGAGTTTCTTTTCTGATAATAG